TATGTGAGCGAGACAAAAGACATGTTTGGATTTTGAATGCTCATAGCAGTTTTTTTTTTTTCGTTGTAGTTGGGCCAGTTCAGACATTGAATGTCCAATCTAGTTTTTTATTATAAAAAATAGAGAAGTGATCCACTTTGGAGATATAACTTTCAAACCAAGTCATTTGTATTTTTTTTTTATTGAGAGAAAGGCGGTTTAAAAGTTCAAATTTCTAACTAAAAGCAAATGTTGAATAGTCATTTCAGTTAAAAAAAAAAAAGGACAATTAACCTTGAATAACCAATCGGTTTTGAACTACGAAGAAATCTTTTGTTTTTTGACAAGAGCACATAACTTTTATTGTTAAGAAAGAATTACAACAATGTTACACATCCGTAAAAGAATAAATGGCTACAAATTGTAGCAAAACACCAGCTTTGGCCAGAGAATCTGATTTATCATTTGCCTCTCGGTAAATTTGTTGGAAAGAAATAACCTGGCACTGATAAAGATCTAGAATTTTATCCAAAACTCCTGCAAATTTCACGACTATCTTCTAGTAAAATAACACAAATAACATTCAAAGAATCCCCTTCCACTACCCAACAAAAATAAATATATTTCTTTTAGAATTCTCAAACCATGCAACAAAGCCAAGTATTCATCTTTAGTAGCAATAGTTTCCCCACATCGTCCTAAGAAAAAGTGTAAAATCATATCATAAGAATTTGAAATTATTCCTCCAAACCCAGCTGCCCTAGGTTCCATGGAGTACTCCCATCAAAGTTCAATTTAACGCTCCGTAGCAAAGGCGGACACCACCTCCCTCTCAGCATGTTTCTCAAATTAGTCTGCATTGCCAAATTTATGAGATTTAACAGCACATCCACCTTCGACACTTCCATCCCTTCCTTGGTATTTGGGAACCAAAACCACACATTATGAAAGATCCTTTCCTTAATCCTAGCCATGTCATAACCGTTACCTTCAAAAGTGTGTCTCTTCCTTTCTAACCATATCTCCCAAAGTAAAGACCCATGAAAAATAGTACAAATGGCGTTTTCTTAGGCAAACTAGCTAGACTCAACTGTTGAATAATATCAGTGTTGAGCAAGCAGCGGTACCACACAACCCACCAGATTCATTGCCCAAGTCCAAAGGTGATAAGCTATTGGGCAATGCAAAAAAAGATAGTTACCCGTTTCCTCATCTCCTCTACATAAAATGCATATATTAACAATCAACTTGTATTTCTTGCACAAATTATCTACTATTAATACTTTGTTTTGAGAAAGTAGCCAAGCTATCATTTGCTCCTTATGTGGGATTCTCAATTTCCAAATCATATTTAAATCAGGCAAGGACCATCTCACCCGTTCATAAAAGATCACTTGATATGCTTATCTAACTGAAAAAGCATCATCAATAAAAAGTTCCCAAACCACTTCATCTTTCTCAAAAGGGGATACATAAACGCCCTCTAAGTCTGTCACAAACTGCAAACTCCAATTTACTCGATGATCATCATGGGTAAAAGCATCACACACTTTCAAATCTTGAGTACAACACTTATTCAAAAATTTCTTTATACATCACCTTGTGTGGATGATCCCCAAACCATTTATGAGACCAAATATTGATTGAATCCCACTACCAACCACCCATCTAATATTCCTCATGACAATATCTCTTGTAGCAAAAATACCTTCTCAAATTTGGGACTAATAGGTTCCTCCACTACCCCAACTAATAAGATCATTAAGATCCAAACCCTATTTTGAAATAAGAACCTGCTTCCCACAATGCTGCCCACCCTCCAAAGATCTCCACCACCATTTCATTAGTAAGGCTTGATCAACACATTTAAGCTTCCTAAAACCTAAATCCCCCTCCATCTTTGGGGTGTGCACCTTCTCTCAACTAACAAAATGATATTTCCTTCCCCCATCAAGAGAAATCCAAAAACAATTCCACATGAGTGTTTCAATTTCTTTTATCACAGGTACATGCATATGAAGCAAAGATCGGCATGTTGGACAAAATGGATTTGATCATTTCCTCCTAGAGATAAAAATTTAGTCTTGCACAAGTCTAATTTCAAATGTTCTATTTTCAAGGTAGGATCCCAAATAGGCCATGGAAGTTTTTTATCCGAAATAGCAATACCAAGGTACTTGATAGGAAAGTGATCCACAGCACAAATCCCAATACCCAAGCCAAATCATCTACCACACTATCTCCTCAGCCAATTCCCACCAAGGATGTTTGAGTAAACTTTACTTTCAACTCCAAAGTAGCTTCACAACATCTAAAAAAAATGGAAATCGTATAAACTTGATCAAATTCAGCATCACAAAAATTGAACATATCATCTGCATACTGCAAGTGTGAGAACGAACGTAGGTCCTTTTTCAGCAATCTTAAAGCCATTAAACCATCCTTAGTCTCCACATTTTTCAACATCAAGCCAAAACTCTCAGCCACTAAGGTAAAGAGAAATGAAGACAAAAGGTCTCCTTGTTTCAGTCCTCTAGATGCTTTGAAATAACCTTTTGGCATCCATTAATTAATGGAAAAAGTTTATATAAGGTTGCAACCTTAAAATGTAGAAGTACATATGTACCTAAAAAATCCATCGAAAAGGTTGTTTTAATGTTGGAAAACCCTCTATTTGATCATCTCGACATCGAGATGTATGAATATAAAAAAAAAAAAATTTAGTCCAAAAAATAGTGCATCTTGCAACACATTATCTAGACCGTCCACTTTCAAGATTTTCATATACGTTAGGATATGCATATCAAGAGATATAGACCCATACATTCATAATGATGAATATCAATATGAACCCGATATATCCCTATCCTGACAATATGTTTATATATCTCATTGATGTTAACTATTTTTGGAGTTTAAAATTTCTTAATTAGATATGAAAATAGATTTTAAGATGATCCTAAGAACATTTTACAACAAAAATTACATGTTATGATACATTTTGCAGGTACGCCGTAATTGGATTGTTTAAGGTTGCAACCTTATAGAAACCACACACTTAATTAATATGAAAAATGTGCAGTCGAAAGATGCCCCATAATGCAACCTCTTCACTTATCTTCAAAACCCATAGTGTTTATAATTTCATCCAAAATCTTCTATTTCACCTTATCATATGTCTTCTTCATATCTAACTTCATGAGAAAGCTTGGTTCACCACTTGAAGCTCTTGAGTGTAGACACTCCTAGACTACCGTTATAATCTTGTCCTTAATGAAAGTATATTGAGGCCCAAAGATAATATCAGGAAGCACCTTTTGAGTCTAACTTCCAACACTTTTGGAATGATTTTGTATAGACTCATTAAAAGGCTAATAGGTCTAAAATCATTTAAACTTATTGAATCTTTCTTAAAAATTAAAGCTATGAAAGTATAATTAATGCTATTGTCAATTATCCCATGCTCCAGGAACTCTTAGACCATATCAAAAATATTATCTTGCTACTCCCCCCCCCCCCCCCCTCCAAAAAAAAAGGACTCGAATTCACTACAAGATAAAATGCAAGTAACTCAGTTTACAAATTCAATGTCTGGCTGGTGCACGTAAAAGCAGTTTAGACATTGTATGTCTGCATTGAAGTATTTCCAAAAAAAGACAGGTTCATTCAAAGTCAGAACTGGTCTTTGACTCAAAGAAAAAGAAGAGCTCTGCTTGAAATTTAATGTCCAAAATAGTGGTGATTTGGAAAATATATAAAGCTTATAAAAAAAGGACTTGAAATAGAAAATAAGGGGAACAATGGATTAAATCAGTGGAGTTTTCTGTAAATTGACAATTTCAAAATTATCCCCACAAAAGCCACGAGGTACTTTTGACGTGTGTATGAAACAATGCATTTGGTCAAAATTTAAAATATTGTTCAAGAAAAAAGAGGAAAGGATCATTCCCAAAAGCGCAAAGAAGGGCAAAATAGTCACATTTGCAAAATAAATGCCATATTTGTCATTTCAGAAGATGTTAGGAGTTATCAGTGGGTATCAGAAATACGAAGGACCAAAATGGTCATTTTCCAGTTAAAGTACGTGGGTAATTTAGTCATTAATCAGTGTGTGTTTCGGTTTCAGACAGGCGTATACCGAAGGTTAAGTCAGCGTGAGGTTGAGTGCAAGTGAATCGAAGTTAGAGAGAGAAAGAGATAGTAGAGAGAGAAAGAGGAGGGAGGAGGGTAGATTGGAGAGAGAGGGCGTTGAGTTAGGGAGTAGAGGAGAGAATGACAGAAGAACATTGGCATTGTAACGGGCCGGGCCGGGACGGACCCTGTACTAGTCGTCCCTATTTTCTTGAAGATCAATTTATATCTAGTAGGATTAGGCCGAATTCGGTTAGGTAAAATCTTAAAAAATAAAATAAAAATGACAAAAAAAAAAGGTTCGGGCCGAGTTGACTTGTACAGGCCTGTTTTATCCTTGCACAAGCCCTCAAGCCACTTTTGTGGGGTGAGGTCCTAATTTTTTTCAGGGTGGGGCAAGCACCCAGTTTTATTGCCACTCCGAGACCCATTTTCACCCTTAGAAAAGAGCAGTAGCATCCTAGAGGAAGAGATAGCCTAGGACAAGCTCTCATGCTACATTTTGTGGACCAAGCTTTAATTTTTTTTAAAATCAGACCCTTGAAAAAGAGCAATAGTATTATTATAGACTAAGAGATAGCCTAATGCAAGCCCTCATACTACATTTTGTGGACCAGGCCCTAAAGGCCAAGGCACCCAATCCATTCCATTGTCACCCCTAAAAGAGAGTAGTAATATTATAGAGGAAAAAATAGCCTTGCTCAAGCTCTCATGCTACATTTTGTGGACCAGGTCCTGATTTTTATAAAATCAGGGCTATTGTCACGCTTAGAAACCCGGCCCATTGTCATGAGAGATGAGAGATGGAGGGTATAAGAACAGTATGATGAGAGAGAAAGAGGGAGAGGAGAGAGAGGGCCTTTAATATCATCTTCCTAATGGACACCTGTCCCTTCTCTATATTTCTTTGTCTCCCTTTCCCTTTTCTCTCAAGCGGGAGGCCTGTGCTCCTCTTTCCTCTTCTATCTCTTCACATGTTTACTTCAACCACACCCAGAAAAACCCATTTTAAAAATGCCCACCATGAAAGCTCCTTCTCTCTCTAAAACCAGGTAAGTTTAAAAAACAAATTTCTCTCTCCTAAAAAAGCTCTTCTTCAAAGGGTCTTTTGGGGTGTTTTATTTACTCTCCTTTTTGCATTTCTTCAGCTTTTTCTGTTTTGTTAAGGACAGTTCCCTCTCTCTCTCTCTCTCTCAAAAGTTTATAATCCTTTTCTCTCTCCTTCTCTCTCTCTCTAGATTTGTAATGAGCGGTTGTGCTGAGTTACCTATGGTATGGGCAACACAGATAAGGTGTGATCGTTGGTAGTTACTTTCATGCAAAATTACTGATAAGAAGTAGGTCTTTTTCTTACAGTTAGGAAAGGCTTAGTCTTTGGTGTTCTTCATACGCAATTTAAGGTTTCAAGAGAGAAGAGGCTAGAGATCAGTTTCAGGAGAGATCTATCTTGAGGGGTTGGTGCATGATCATAAATACAAATTCTGGACTCTCTCTCTCTCTCCATTTTTCCTTTCTTGGATTGCATGTAACTACTCTCCTCTTTCCTTTATGTGCTTCCATTTTAGTACAATTTGTGGGTATTTTCTTCTGTGACTGGTGATCTGAGCTTCAAAGAGCTTAATTCATGGATATTTGTTGTTTCAGATCGGTCTCTGGTTATGCATGTTGAACGGGGACACTAGAGAGAAGAAATAGATGTTTTTGCATGTTGTAGGCGAACAATAGATAGATAGAGAGAGAGAAAGCATGTTGTAATGGGACACTGGAGATAAAGCTAGATGTTTTTGGTTGCTGTAGGGGGGCTCTAGAGAGAGAGATGGTTTGGAAGAAATGGTTGGGTTTTTGAGAGCGAATGTTGCCACGAAAAGAGATGGAGGAGGCTCCTGGTTCAGTCACTCTATTGGGAACTTCTCTCTCAGAGAGCTCGACGGTGGCTAGAGATCGCCTATTCGAGATAACCCGTCTTCAATTTATCACAAGCACCGCTAACTTACTCTCTGACGACTCTACAACTCCCCCTAAAACCATGAATCCCGAAACCCAATTCCCCATTTTGGAAGAAATCCACTTTTCCAGCAAAGAAAATGAAGATGGGGAAATGGGCTCTCTCCTAAATTTGTTACCTGAGTTAAATTGGCAAGTTGGTGATCATGCAAGCGAAGAAGGGGATCCTTTGTCATTGGGTTCTGATGAAATTGTTGATAATTCGTGTTCTCTCTCTATATGCAGTGATGTTAGTAGTATCTGTGGTGAAGAATTCATGGGACTGGAGTCAGCTGATGATAGGAGCCCCAGCTCTGTGGATCTCGAGAATTGTGCAACAGGAGCTCTCGAGACCGGGAGTATGGTGTCCGGAATTACATTGAAGGGATCGAGAATCAAGTCAGAGGGGGAAATTGGGGTCAACTCCATTAGTGAAAATTCAATTGTTGGTACTGATTGTTTGGTCTTGAGTGAGCTCAATGTTCTTGTTCCTCCTGTTATTGAGCTGCATTCTCATCAAAGTTTTCAGGAAATAAAAAGTGGACCACCTTGGGGTTGTATGTCTTTATGCGGGAGAAGGCCTGAGATGGAGGACGCTTTGGCGGTTGTGCCCGAGTTCCACAGGCTACCAACTTGGTTGCTTGGTGGCGAGTCTGATGTTGAAAAGCCGAAGTGCTCGGTTGTTCATTTCTTTGGGGTTTATGATGGTCACGGTGGTGCACAGGTAATCTTTTTTAATTTTGTTTCGTCTATTTCTGTATCTGTTGGTTTTGAATTCTCTCTTATATTCCCCCTTTCTATCTTTATTGGGTATAATACTCTCTCTCTCTCTCTCTCTCTCTCTCTTAGTTCTCTTTGTTGGTTTGAATGATCTCTCTTTTCTCAGTTGCTGTGTTTGTTGGCTCCGAGTGCTCTCTCTCCCTCTCTCTTTGCTATCTTTATTACTTTTGCTTGGTCTCTCTCTGTTACCCATCCTATTATTTTTGTTGGTTTTGTACTCTCTCTCTCACATTCGGCACAGGTATGTAAGTTGGTAGTTGAACTTCAAATCTGAGTGTTGATAGGCCCTACCCAGTACCAACTGAGCCAAAGGCTGAGCACCAATTGTTGGTTTCGAATGTTTAGTGGCTAAATATGGACAAACTTTAAATTAGGACTTTGTTCCAAATTTAGGGTTTTCTTTCATGTCGGCGGACACGTGCTTGCAAATTCGAGATTCAATGCGATTGGAGACATGAATTAATTGAAGAACACTCCTTTTTGTAAACCCGAATCAGCCCAGAGTTTTCGGAAAACTCCCTAACTAAGACCAAACTCAAAAAGCATGTTATAGATGGACAAATTTTGGTTATCATCCTACCTAATTTGCTAAGCTTTGTTCTCAATGTAATACGAAATTGTGCAAAGCATTTTATAGATGGACAAATTTTTACTGTGATCCTATCGAATTTGCTAAACTTGTTTCTCAATTTAATACCACATTGTGCAAAATTTATTTGAGCTCTGATATAGTTTTTTTCTTCATATGGATTTTCATGTATTTGAAGCTCCTTGAAAATTAAAACCATACACGTGGTTTTAGTCACAGCAAACCATTTTTTCCGGAGTTGGGTGTATGGGCTAAAACTGAATTTTAATCGAAATTTGTCAGAGCTCTAATCTAAGAGTCAAACTATTGTCAAACCTCAGGCTTACCTTTATAGCCATGTTACAAGACTAGATGCCACTTTTAATTTGTCAGAAAAGGAAGAAAACTTAATGGTGTTTTTAATTTACAGGTGGCAAACTATTGTAAGGATCGTTTGCATTTGGCTCTCACTGAGGAGCTTGATGCTCTTGGGGCTGAATTCAAGGAAAGCAGGGAAACCTGGCAAAAACAGTGGGAGAAAGCTTTCAACAGTTGCTTTTTAAAGGTCGATGCTGAGGTTGGAGGGAATAATCACCAACCAGTTGCCCCCGAAACTGTGGGGTCCACTGCAGTGGTTTCTGTTCTTTCTTCCACGCATATAATTGTTGCAAATTGTGGGGACTCAAGGGCGGTCCTCTGTCGAGGAAAAGAGGCGATGCCCCTCTCAATTGATCATAAGGTGAGTCTCGTGATAAAAATGTGTGCGTGGATAGGTGGATGGATTAATACATGTATACAAACATTTAGAAATATATATATACATATGTCCATGGGTACATACATGTGTATGCGCATATGGTCATCATATCCTTGCATCAATATATGCATATGTATGTGCAGCCATATGCATACTTTGATTTTTGCTTTAACTTCCAATTGATATAGCATATTCATTTAATTGTCTTAGCCAAAGAGAGAGGATGAATATGCAAGGATTGAAGCAGCTGGAGGCAAGGTCATACAGTGGAATGGATATAGAGTATTGGGTGTGCTTGCTATGTCGAGGTCAATTGGTACGTTTTATGCGTCACTGTTTTCATACCTATTCATCTCTTCTTAATATTTTTTGTTTCTTTTGTTTGGGTAATTGTGTTTTTTATGTTTCATTATTGAGCCATATTTTCTTTCTTTCATTACCGGGCCCTTGTGAATATTATCTCATTTGGAATTTGGATCAGAAAAGTCTAATTTTTCTTGCCCAATCGTTGTGGTCCAAGACATATGTATTAGAATTTTACTTTTACTTGCCCAAACGCCAACAGATTAATGATCCTTTCACATTTTTTACTATGAAATGGCCTTCTCCTATTTTTTATTTTCAAGTATACAGTTCTTAGCACTGTACTTTCTAGACTTGTACATTTTCACAGAGTATTATAGAGCTAAACATTGTTAACCATAAAAATAAAGCTGGTCTCCTTTTTCCTGTACTTTCTTTTTATGATCTAAGATACCTTGACACAGATTCTGTGCTGGAACATTCTGCAGGTTTTTCTAATCTGGTAAATGGGAACTACCGATTACGATTTTGCTATAAATTGAGAAGTTTGAATTAATTAGGAAAATGACAAAATTTGTTACTATTCCAGGAGGTAGTGTGAAACTGCATCTTTTCATGTTCCTTCTGCTGTTTTATGGGTTGGACTTTGTGGTTGCAATACCATATTAGTAACCATTTTTTTATGGGTGTGGTTTGTATAAGGCTGATACCCTAATCAGTCAAAGTAAGGCGCACCTATAAATAGTACCAAAATTTGCTGTTTCAGTATCAGAAATCATTGTAATGGCCTGAAAAATTATTTTCATATCTAATTACAAAATTTAAAGTTAAAAAATAGTGTGGATCAATTAGATCTATGAACACTTGAAAATCTTAAAACATGACAGTCTAGATAATACATTACAAGATGCACTATTTCCAAGACTTGAAATCTATTTTTTCTCATGTCCATACATCTTAAGGTCGATATGATCTTGAGGATTTTTCAACATTGGAACAAGCTCTTCTAGTGATTTTTTGAGGTGCGCCCTAATTTGATTGTTTAGGGCCTCACCCTTATATAATATTTTCCCTTTTTAGGTTGTCACAATACTATATTAGTCACTACCATTGCAAAAGTTAAGATTGTAGTTCTTAATTTAGTCTTTTCCTTGACCAAGTTGGATATGACTCTTCCTTTCTGAAATAAAGGTCAAACTCAAATCAAATTCAATTTGTTTGGGATTATTGATCTAATTCCCGGTGGCACCTCTATTGGGTGATTTGGTAGAACCCAGCTTTAATGGGCTATTTTGATCCAATTCGTATGTGCTGCCTTAATAAGGCAATTTGGTTGAACCTACGTCAATGAAATGTTTACTTTCTGCGATGGCATTCAAGTTGAAATCAAAATCGATTTGCTTAGGGGGCTTATTATATATAAAAAAAAAAGGAATAAATTCAATTTGCATCGGGAGAGTTAAATGGATCCGATTCCTTTGTGGCACCTTACTGGGTGATTTGATGGATTTTTGTATATTCTAAATATTTGTTTTCTGATATTTTTGTCCGACAGTCTGACCAGAACATTTACACTTTGTTTTGCTCTTAAGATGAAATCACTTTCCACACTCAAGGTGGCAATGAGTGTGAGTGATCTCTAAGATAGGTAAACCCCTGTTATGTCAAATCGAAGGTTTTCAATCTCTCTAGGCTTTGTCATTGTTCTTCATATGAAAATTTTCTAGTAATTGTCTTTTAAGATGAAGTGTTTGTTCTATGTGTTAGTGTCTTTTAGCGGTTAAAATATCTCTTTTTTTTTTTTAGAGATCGGTGAAAATATCTCATTGATGTGAAATAAAATTAGTCCTATGATGAAAGTTGTAGTCATGGATTCAATATCTTAAATGAATTGAATTGAAAAAAAAATTTGAAATAAAGAATGGACTTCAAACTTGAAATGAATAAATTGAAGTCAATAATATTTCAAACTTGGAGTTGAAAAGTAGTCAGACACAAAGTTTTTAGAATGTCGCATACCTATGATTTCTTCTTTATATTTTTTGTAGTTCTTATTCGGCAGTTTTACTTTTAACTTGAAGACATTAGTGGTTCGATTGGCTAACTCACAAAATCTTTTACTCCATAGTATAGGAAACGACAGATCAGAGTTTTTACATGACTTTGAAATGCTTGTATGATTTTGTAATTGATTACTATTTTTCCCATGCATGCTCTTTACTTTGTCACTGAATGCTTTTCCACCTTTTAAATTTCCTCTGATCTGTTTTTCATTTAAAAGTGATCTTTTTGCTTCAGTTTTACGGCTCAAACCTATACCTCCTTGTTTTGCATATCTTGGTCATTGTGCTAGTATTTTGTGGAGTTCTTATGCTTGATAAATATATGCTTGTGTATGGAAATTTCTGCTGCTGTTATGGTTCTTTCTTTCCACAACTATCTTCCCATTCTAGTGGGTATCCAATGCTCCATGATTCCTGGGAAATAAAGCACAAAACTTTGGATTAGTTTAATTCACAGCAGGTGTTTACTTATTTCATCTGTTTGGTAGCTTAACTGTGATTCGAACTTGAAACTTAACGATGAACAAGAAGAAAAGCTCCCAGACTTCGTGGCTTTGGGCTAAACAGCCCATGATCATGTGTTGATTCCGTATTTTCTTCGACCTACCCGACCTTGTACTATTTCATCTGTTTGGTAGCTTAACAGTGATTCGAACTTGAAACTTAACGATGGACAAGAAGAAATGCTCCTAGACTCCGTAACATTGGACTGCAGCCCATGATCATGTGTTGATTCCTTAGTTACTTCCAAAAGTCTCAATGGTTGAGACAAACAGCTCATAAAATACTAACAACTCGGAATGCTCAATGTATAATCAGGAATTGATTCATTAAGTTGTCTGTCATCTCCCTAAAATATCCAAAAGAAAAAATTATTTTAAAAAAAAAAAAGAAATTTTTTTCCAAAAGTGGACTGAGAGTTATAATCCTTTTTTCTCTCTCATCTCATGGGCAGGTGACCGCTACCTCAAACCATGGATTATTCCTGACCCTGAAGTCATGATCATTTCTCGAACGAAAGAAGATGAGTGCCTTATCTTAGCAAGCGATGGGCTATGGGATGTTATGTCCAATGAGGAGGTGTGTGACATGGCTCGGAGGCGCCTTTTGCAATGGTACAAGAAGAACCCGGCTACCCCATCAACAGAAAGTGTTCATTTAGCTGCACAGTCAGCTGCTGATTATCTCTCAAAGCTTGCTCTCCAAAAGGGCAGCAAAGACAATATTACAGTTATTGTAGTAGACCTGAAAGGTCGTCGAAAAGTGAGGACCAAGGCACGAGAACCGGTAAGTTAGTAGTGTTACAAACTGAACTTTAGTCTTTATCCTATGAACATATGTCAGTCTTTTTATGTTTACAGTGAGGCAATACATCTACTTGCCCGTTTCGTTTTTATATGTCGGGCTTAAAAGCTTGTATGGGTACATAAGTACATATATAAGAAGCATTTTGTTCATAGAGTTTAACACCATAGAGTTAAGTCCCTGACTGTTTCTAGAGTTATACCCTTGCAAGTGCTGCTCCCTTGTTTAATTATGTTTCTCTCAAGATTAACCTCAACTTCCTCTATTGTTAGATGGAACTCAAGATGACTCTTGAAACCCAAAAACGAGTGCCCATCTTCTTTGGGCCCTTAAGATTTATGTATAAGTTTGTTAAACGAGCTTGTATCCATACATATATATGAGAAGAGTTTTACACCATAGAGTTCTAAACGCCATTACAGAAACACTTTTTAACAGTTTTTGAGGCATTGATTACTGCTACTATACAGCTAATGTGATCCATGGGCAAGCATCTAGAGAGAGAGAGAGAGAGAGAGAAGAGTTTAGAGACATTGTATGTCTTTTTTATATTTAAAGTTTGAAGAACATGTTTTTATTATGGAAAAAGATAAGGAGAGAATAAAAGGCCAATTGAATTCCACAACTTGATCCTTAAATAAATTTGAATTTCTAAAATCTTAAATATATGTAAATTAGTGATCAACTAAATACTGATAATAAAAAAATCCTTCCATTTCCATTTCAGATATGCTACATTTGTAATTAAACATAATTAAAAATGAATATGTTGTAATTATCCACATATTACTATTGGCAAAAAAGAGAGAGAGAGCATGTAATGTAGTATATGTAGCAGAGATCCCCAAGTAATTATTCTGCTATTCTAAACCCCATTAGTTAGTTTTAGTGAATGTAAAGTGGCCGAATCTGATCAAATAGAGAAAGTTAATGTTGAACAGTGAAAATCTAGTCCATTTGGACTGCTGATGATTTTGTCCATCCATTTTCTACACAGGCTTTCTGCATTTTCACCCTGATGAGATTCTTTGTACACGGTTTCTGGTTTCCCATTCTTTTGCCAACCAATGTATCACTAAGGAAAATAGTCCATTGGGTTCATCACCTTTCATTGAGGTGATGGATAGCGACAAAAAGTGGGACCCACCATTAGGGTCGCATCGTAATTTAGTGGGTCCAACTGTCTTCATCACCATTCATCTATTCATCATTTCATTGAACAGCAAATACCTCATTGGCCTATATTGGTAGGCTATAGTCAAAATCCATTGAATTTCATTTGAGTTTTGCTTTTCAGTGCCTTTTTGTGATAGTAATGTGATTAGCCTCAAATGTAATATGATCCAAATTCCAGGAGAATAACAAGACATGGGGATAATCACTGTCCAAATGGAATGTGATGGAAGGAGAGTGAGATGCACTGATGGATCGATAATTTTTTTAATGGGACCCACTTTCCTCTACTGTCCAATCGATGGATGGGACTGTAATTACGTCAGTCATGATCATGATGTTCTAGTAACCAGACCATATGGATCATATCTTGTAGCCTTGTTAGTTTCCCCACCCCCAAGTGGGCTCATATAAGTAAGGGTAAATATCTCCTTAGCTTTTATTTTTGGACCCAAGGATTTAAGTTATTTATGAGAGTCTAAAAAAGTCTCTATATTTTCTATCGTTCAACCCCTTAAATCTTTTTGAAAATATATTATTGATCTCAACAACTTATGAAATGATTTCCTTCCCTGAAAATCTAACCTCTATTTAATCCCGATAACATATGCCCCCTCTCTCTATACTCAATCCCTCCCTCTTTCTCTCTCTAAAGTCCGTTTCTCTAGCCCATCTCTCTCTCAAATGCCCAAATTGCAAAGACCCTTTTATGTCTCCTCTCTCTCTCTCTCTCAAATACCCAAATAGGACAAATAGGAGAAATCCACCCTCCCATCGCCTCTCTCTCTAGGATGTTCTTGCGATCTTGAATGATCATCAGATGTTCTTGAGATGTTGCCGACTGATTCCTCAAATAGATAATTTGAAGTGGGACGAGTTTCACAATTTCTCCGAAGTCCTTCAATATTACTTCAAGATTAGAACTAACATCAATGGGGTAATTGCAATGAGCAGCTTTTATAGAGAGGAAGTATACTACGAGGCAACAAAATTTAATCCAAACATTTTTAAGGAAGAAAATTGGTGAATTGACTGAAAAAGCCATCAAACGTATCACATTAGACCAGATTGGTTTCAATGTCTTAAACTTTTGTATTTTTGCTTCTCAATTTCAAATTTCAACGATAATAAGTTTCAATCCCTTGGAAAAACAGAAATTCGTGTAATGGCCCTATATTCCAAATTGAGATTTATGGAAAACAACCTACAAGATTCTAAGAAGTTTCAGTCATAATCTGCAATTTAATTCTACAAATTTTTGTGAACTCAGCTAAAGTGTGTCCAAAAATGGAGGAGAATTTCTGAAAATAAAAAAGAAAAATGTGGAAGTTCCAAGAAAATTTGGATTGATATTCTCAAAATGCAGCCTAAATTCGTGAGACTTTTTTGTGTAAAAAATTCCGAACTTCGTGCTTGTATTGCAAACAAAATTTCAGTCCATTTTCTTCAAACCAAATCCCCATTCTCTTTCCATAATTTGTCCCAAAATTTCAGCTCCAAAAACTTACCCCAAGGATTGCTGAACAAAGTCGGATTGAACAATTGAAAAAAAAAGACATAATTACTGTTAAAGAAGAAGATTGCTTTGAGTCAAGAGAAGTTAGAGCTGATCTGATAGCTAGGGTTCTGTTAGTTGATTTGAAGAAGAGCAACCTGCGATTAAAAGGTGGAGAGAAGTTAGAGGCTTTTTTTGAGAAAATCGGACTATGGCTTAGAAGGGAGAGAGAGAGGGTGGGTCTCTGCTATTTGGGTATTAGAGGGACAAAGAAAGGAGATGTAGAAGGATTTCGGGCATTTGAGAGAGAAAAGAGGGGGCAAGAGAGAGACACGGAGTTTAGAGAGAGAGGGAGAGACTGTGTTTAGAGAGAGAGACAGGGGCGAGAGAGATTGAGTTTAGAGAGAGAAAGAGAGGGTATACATTAACGGGTTAAATGAACGTTAGGTTTTGAGGGAAGGGAGTCATTTCATAAGTTGTTGAGGTCAATAATACATGATCAAAAGAATTTAGGGGTTGAAAGATACAAAATATAACTTTATCCTCTCTGAAATAGTTTAAATCGTTGGGTCTTCTAAGAAATAGGTAGCAAAAATAAAGGGTATAGAGATATTTACCTTATAAGTAAATAAATAAGGGTGTTGTTTCTATAAGGTTGCAACCTTAAACAATCCAATTAAGGCTCCAAATTTTATCATAGCATGCAATTTTGGTGTAAAAAGTTCTTAGCCCTTGATGAGGTCGGAGCTTATGCTTAGATGAGTGAGTCGAGGGACTGTGTGACCTTGTGTGTGATAGTAGCCCTACTGAGACTGGGGCAAAAACCTCATCCATGCTCCATCACGCTGCATGCATATTAATAGATCGTTCGGAAAAGCCAGATATCCACATTTGGGTGAAGCGTATGCATGTGCAAGCCCCTATGCGCCATAGAGCTGTGGTCGCATCAAGTCGTGATAACCTTGACTCGTCGCTAGGGGAGAACCTGTAATCCATAGACTGGGATTGCGACCCCTTGATTCATCGACCTGACTTTGGTGACCTGCTAATGAGCTCCTGCTTGGACTGTGGATAATGAAAAATACTGGATCGGTTCGATAAAGCTAGTGTGGTATGTAGTCCACAGTTGAATGTGGAGTATCCCGTTATTACAGATTGAATTCCTAAAATCATATGGATCATTTTCCCATCATATTAATTTAATTGTATTTATTTTATTATTGAAATGATTTTAGTTTTATTATTTGAATTTTTATGAATATCTCAATATTTTATTTGTGATTTTTGGACTTATAAAAATACAATTATTGTTCTTAAAAAGTTATAAAAAATCAAATATATATTTTAAATTATTTTATTTAATTTTAAAAATAATATTTTTTATAAAATTCCATGGGGCCCTATAGTGCACATGAGTCATGGCATGTGGGTCGGGGCACAGTATTAGGTTCTCAAGCACAGTATTAGGTTGTATGAATGGCATCAAGTAGTTAAGATTTATTTTTTTGGAATTTATATTATTTGTAGTAAGACCATCTCTGAGTGATCTTGTTGCCAAAATTATAAGTGGTGATTATTATTAAAAAAAAAAAATTGTATTTTCCCAACAAAAGATCACATAGGTCTTTCTTTCAAATGTCACAATTACTTACCACCATTCGATGTGAAATCTGATAGCATGCGTGTATTACAAAGTTTGAGAAAAATTCTTTTGAAGTTTAAACTTGATCAATGGAATAAATGCAGCCATCTAATTTCACATCTAATTGTGAAAGATTAATTGTGACGGCCTTGTACCAAAAATAAATGGTCCCATTGTATATTTTTCTATAAATAACAAAATAAGACTAATAAAAAGATACAAGGTTCCATAAGGTCTAGCGTCCATGAAAACAAAGTAAGGCCTCATATGCAATCCTTGTCTAGAAAATACTTTGGCAGCCTAAAAAATCTTCATAATAGCACTACAAGCAATTTCCAACAGTGATTATAAACTTGTGGATCTGTGAGCACTAATTTTCGGAGCGAAATGGATGGTCTAGATAATGTGTTACAATATACCCTCAACATTCTAAATTGTAACTTTTTGTGGTGAGGCTTTATTTATTTTGATAGGACTACAGCCTTATCAAAATATTTCTAGATATTCATGTGATCTTGTGGTGGATGTGAGGGACATTTTGCGTATTTCAAAAAAGTTGTAGTCTGATCCAATGTTATCATATTGGCCTCACTTCGGCCGAAGTCTTCGGATTTTCTGCCTAAACCGAAGCGAAGCCAAGCTCTATTGCATTCGCTTCAGCCCGTTTCCATCTGATTCGGCCTCTTCGACCGAAGCTTCGGCTAAAGCACATAATTGTCTTTTTTAAATACAATTATGTGCAGTCCACTTCAGAATCTTAGGCCGAAGCACATAATTGTCGTCTTTGACTTTATTTTTTATTTTTTTTGTTTTGAATTTTTATTTTTTAAAATTTTAATTTTTTAATATATTTTATATATAAATTTAATAATATATACTATATCCATATTACATTTTAAAAAAAAATCTTAAACTTTCTCTCGAATCAACCGAAGAACCAAATTGCTTCACTTTTTCCACCAAACCGAAGGCTTTTACGGACAACACTGAGTCTGATCCTTCTTGGGATAGCGCCAACAAGGAGGGTTGTTTGTTGTTCCTGCTTTGTGAATACGAAAGTGTTTTGTCATTGATTTTATAGCTCTAATG